GTGGCAGAATTTCATTTACACGTTTACTTTTATATTTTACCTATTTGTTAAATTTCATTTTACATTCAAACCAAATTTCTCCCTTTTACTCATTTTTCCTGCCTCCATTACGTATCCCAACCAGAGCACATGCCATCCATTCCTTCCAACTGGTAAGGGCTCCTATGGCGAGGCCACTAAGTCTGCACAGTAAATTGGGACTGGACCAAGCCCCTCCTCTCTGTGTTAAGAGTGAGCATGGCATTCCCTCCTGGAGAATGTGTTCCCACATAGCTAGCTCATGTACCAGGAAAGATCCTGATACTCCTGCCAGGTTCCCGTCAGCCACTTCATGCTTCACAACTGTCTCCTACAAACAGAAAGAAGCTACGTCTGTCCCATGGAGGTTCCACAACTGTCAGTCTAGAGTTCATGGGTTCCCACAAGCTTGGTTCAGCTGTCTCTGAAGATTTCTCCATCGTGACCTTGATCCCCCTTGTCCATGTATTCCCTCCTCTCTTTCTTCAACTGGTTTCCTGGAGTCTGGCCCACAGCCCAAACTGGGCTTACTTGTATTCAGATTGGTGACTACCCCAACTATCATCATAGCTAGAGCCTTCATTCACTACTTGAGCAAACCACATGCAGAAATCCATATCCTATCACCAGGTCAAGATCCTTTGTATTTTTGAGGAAAATGTTGGAGAATATATCATTTGAAGAAGGAAAATGGCATTTACTGCAGAAGAGGACATTTTACGAGGATTGAGACAGCATGAAGCTTATCTAGAAGAATCTATGAAGAACTCATGCCCCTCACTGTCTCTCCTCAGCCTCTCACTTCTGATGACCCTTTCTCTCCCCTTCTTCTTGCATATATCTTTCTTCCCCGACTCCCTGCCCACCTTCCTGTTTCCTTATTGACTATCTCCCTTCCACTTCTCATTCACTACAATATCCTTAAGTGAGATATGGCTAGGCAGCCAAGACACAGAGGAGTCCAGCTCTGTTTGCCTCTCGGAACAGGTTCTGCTGTGACCCAGAACTTAGTGTGCTGGCAGAGCCCCATGCTGTTCTGAGAGCCCTGCAGGGAGGTTTGTATCTGAGCTCAGAGTAACATTACACACTGTGTTCCTTGCACAGTAATGCATGTCTGTGTCGTCAGACTTTAGAAGTTTATTTGCAGGTACAGGATATTCTTGGCATTGTGTCTGGAGATAGGACTGGGCCCTTCACGGCATAGTAGGTTGTCACTACCACCAGTTCTAACAATAGTGACCCACTCTAGCCCCTTCCTTGGAGCCTGGCAGACCCAGTGCATAGTAGAGCTACTGAAAATGATTCTAGAGGCTGGACCGGAGAGTTTCATGGACTTTTGGACTTTTCAGGCTGCACTAAGCCTCCTCCAGTCTCTACCAGCTGCATGTCACATTGGTCATCTGCAAACAGAGAATTCTGATCAGAAAACTGTCACAGTAGCTAATTTTTCTCTTTCTCGTGTCCATACAAAACATAGCAACTCCTCTCTGTTACAAGGAAAAGCCTAATAAGCCCAAAGTCCATGGTGAGTGTCCAGTGCTGATCACAGAATGCTTGCACCGGGGTGTCAAGAGCTGGGCTTTATGCTCAAGATGCAAGGTCATGGCACAGCTGGTTTCTTTGCACAGAGAAGCCTTATTTGCATTCCATCCTGCTGTAACTGTCTTGGCAGTTGGTCCCCTGGTGGTTTGCAGTGCTCTGAGCAAGTATAAGTCATCAAAGACAATGATGGCCATTATAGAAATTGACATAGCAAGTTAGAACTTTATGCACCTCTTTATTAAGGATAAACAGCCATTTTGATCAGAAAGCTTGGTGAGAAACAATCCTTGAACAGACAAAACAGAGCTATCAGGAGTTTCTGCTACCATTACAAAATAACATCAACCTTTTCTGGGGGGAAAAGCCGGAGGAAACTCATCCAGAAAGCATAAAAATTGTCAGCACATATTCCAGAGTTTGCTAGCATAATCATATGAGGGGATAATGACAGAAAATTCAGGGAAGCAATAAAGGTTTTGTTGTCTTATAGTGTACTGGTTCATGGGTGTTTACTCACCTGGAAACTCTAAAAGGTGTGTTTTTAAACAGAGATTATCGTGTGCCTACTGTTTCTCAGTAAAGTACTTTGTAAAAATCTGACTGATGTAACTTCTGTCCTCATGTAAGTGGAATCATCCTTATTCTTGTCACTCATCTGGACTATAACTTGTGAGGAAGAAGCTCACTTACATTATTACATGTGATACCATGTGTCACCTGAGAGATAACCTAAGAGACTGATTTGGTTCTGAACACACTAGGCTCAGCTTATTCAACTTCACACTTAGAATCCCCTTGCCCAAGGGACTAGATTTACTATCACTTGGTTTAAAACAGTCTACTGTTCTCTGTTGAGGTTTATGTCAGTCACTTTAACTAGTGATACAGAAAAAGCAAACAAAACTGGTTCCTATATGTCATTTTGCATTTGTAAATCATGGGAAGTATAGATAGCTGTTCGTTAAACTTCATAACACTCAGCACTTTGTAACTAGGCTTGAGTTTTGTTATCTAAGGTAGAAATTAATCCAGGGAAGGTGAAGTCATGACAGGTGGCGGGGAAGATGTCAGACATGAGCATAGGAATCCCTGGGTGTTGAGTGTAAATGACTATGGAGAACAGGTGTTGCCTCCATGCCTTGGTAAATTAAACTTCAGGCAAGTCAAGTGCAGATCTGGGACCACCCTGTTAAGTCAGCACTCAGAGAATATCTGTCTGCCACTTGGTAGTGGACATCTCACATCAGTGTTCCTTCCTTCCTTCCTTCTTTCCTTCCTTCCTTCCTTCCTTCCTTCCTTCCTTCCTTCCTTCCGTTCTTTATTTAATTTTTATTTTACATGGCGATCCCAGTTCCCTTTCCCTCCCTCCCTCCGCCTTACAATCTCTGCCCCTCACATGCACTCTGACCACCCTCCCCTACCCTCCCTCCATCCCAATTCCCCATGTAAAGCAATGCCATCCAGGTGGGGTCATGTAAATCTGTCAAGTCATTGAAGTCAGGACTAGGACTTCTCTCCTGTTTCTAGGTAGGTGAGAATCCCTCCATGGGGAATGTGTCCGCTAGGTCTATTTGTGCACCAGGAATATCGCCTGGTTTCACAGTCTGAGGTCACTTAGACTGCTCAGTTCTTCTGGGTGAGACCCATATTCATGGGGACCTGTGTCAGTCCAATGCAGGATTCCAAGCTATCAGTCTGGGGGCCCGTTAGCTCCTCCTTGTTAGCTGTCTCTATGTGTTTCTGCAGCCTGGTCTTGTCCTCTCTCTCTGCATCTGGATTCTAGTTCGACTCAGTGTCTAGTTATGGGTGTTTGCATCTGTTTCCAACAGGTACTAAATGAGGGCTCCATGATAGTCGATAAGTTAGTTGTTGACCTCACTATCTGGCATTTATTGTCGCCTTTCCATGGTTGCTCAAATTGTTAGGTGGTGGCAGTCTTGTAGGTCTCTAGACATTGCTTTAGGTTCAGTTTCTCTTCAAACCTATAATGGTTCCATATTTTATGTTCTCTCTCTCTATCTCTCCCTCTCTCTCTCTCTCCTGTCTTCTATGTGGCTTGAGACAGAAAATGGAAAAAGATATTTGGTTAAAAATATTAAGTAGCTGAACATTGGAAGTACATGCCTTTAATCCCAGCACTAAAGAGGCAAAAGCAAGCTAATCTCTGTGATATCAAAGTGAACCTGATGTTGCGTGCTCAAAAAACAAACAAAAAATAGAAGAAATAGAAATATAGTAATAAAAAGCCACCTAACGTAGGGAAATACACACAGAGTCTGGATACTGTATGCTATCGTGTTATCTTTGAATGGCTCAATTGGTAAGGCAGGAACAATTCCTAAAATGCAATTGATTATCAATGCTGCTAAGTTAATCCAACTTACATATTTTAAAAATGCTTTGACATCAAAATTAAAGTCTAAGTACATGTTGCTGTGTAAAAGAAATTCTAATTTTGTTTTCACTGAAAATGAAAAGCTGCAGATTCCTTCCAGACTAACATGGTTTGATCAAGCAAGACCCTCTGAAACAGTGTCCCAGGTGCGTCAGAACACAGAGAAAATTGACTGGCAAACTGCCAATACAGGTTGACAGTTTAAAGTTTCCTGCTTTGCTGAGGAGTCTGCCATACACACTATGGCCTATGGGCTGAAGATGGATGCACCAACTTACAGAAGAACTTTGGTGTACTGTCCAGGTAGTGAGAGGTTTCTGTTATTTCTAGAGTTTATAGATTATCCTTCTGTGTTCTTTGTTGGAGTTGAAGAAGGTACATTTATAGTTTTCCTGATATAGGATTAAAGGTAGGTTATTTATAGGATATTAGCTCACAAAGAAGGTTTAGATTATAGACTATTTTGTTTAACTTGCTAAATGTTATTTGAATACATATTGTTAAATATAGTTCTTATATGACATGTGTTTCGTTGTATATTTTACTATTCTAAAGTTAAAGCGCTTCTTCATTATTTTAGACAGAAAAGAGAAGATGATGGGAGATGTAAATATGTTTTTCTTACTGGTAAATGAACAAAGCACTGTTGTCAAAAAGGAAGGCAGGATAGGCAGGGCTAGGAGGCAAGGAGAATTCTGGGAGAGGTAGAAAGGAGGATTCAAGATGCAGATTTGAAAGGAATACGTGGTGCTGACACTCTCTCCCATAAAACCACATAAAAATACTTAGAGTGATAGAAATGTGTTAATAGGTAAAACAGAGCTATCCAATAAGAAGATATAGCAAAAAGCAAACAACTTTATAACTAACAATCTCCTTGTATATTTTGGGGTTGACTGGTTATGGGACCAGGTTGGCAGGAACGTGCTCATAAAAGAAGAGGAAACCAAAGTTTCTGCCAGAAAAACAACTGGTTTGTGGCATAGTGCAGAACTTCCTGGGCTCTGATGTGACTTCTACTGGTTCTGAGGAGATGATGTTAATCCTAAATGCCCCCTGCTGGTCGTGAGAGTCCCTGCAGGGAGATTTCTGTGCAGGCTCCCACTGGAGTTCCCTCACTGTGTCTGGCACAGTAATACATGGCTGTGTCCTCAGTTTGCAGGTTGTTCAGTTTGAGGAAAACTTGGCTCTTGGAGGTGTCCCTGCTGATGCTGATTCGGGATTGTAGGGCTGCGTTATAAACGGTGTCTCCACCACTCCCTATTACTCCCATCCACTGCAGACCCTTTCCTGGAGGCTGGCGGATCCAGTGTACATCATAGCTGCTCAATGAGAACCCAGAGACCGTGCAGGTGAGGGACAGGGTCTGTGAGGGCTGCACCAGGCCAGGTCCTGACTCCTTCAGCTGCACCTGGGACAGGACACCTGTGGACAGACAGCATCACCATCAGTCATCCATCCCATAATGACACTCCTGGGTCCTTCTCCTGAATCCCTGCACACTCACAGCTTGGAAAGGTCAGCAGGCAGAGGAGCAGCACCAGGACAGCCATGCTCTGCTGGAGGCTCCAGTGAGAAGCAGATGGGGCTGCTCAGCTAGGCCTGGGCTTTCAGCCTGAGCCTGAGGCTGCTTTGCATTGGGGGAGGATCCTGAGGGGATAAAAGGAGGCTCAGGGGTAGGTTTACACTCTTCCCTTAGATGACTGATATTTGCCTTGTGCTTCCAGAGGAAGTGATGTCAAATTCATCAGGAACTATTTAATACTTCTGCCTGTATGCCCACTTACATATAAACAGGAGCTTGTATGATTCACATTGTGCAGGCTTATGTCAAATACATAGATCCACATTGATGCTGTGCAGAAAGAAGAGCACATCTCTGTAATTGAAGCAGAGTTTTTGCGAAGATTTTATTCATATGATAGACTTCAGTCTCTTATTTATGTGAAATGAGTTCAAGGATCTCCTTAAAATACTCCCCTTTGCCATTGAGTTAACCTTATTCTCATGACTGAGCATTAATTCCAACTTGTGAGAAAGTAAGACACAAACAGTTAATACATGTGATATTAAATGTAAACACACACATTTAGTGCATGTGATATTAAATGTTCATCTGAGAGGAGACAAGAAGTTGGCTTCTGTGATGAGATCCTCTCCTTTGTGAACAACTCGGTCTGTTTATTGGACCTGTCTTGGAAACTTTGGATTTGGTAACAATTGAGTCATCTCTTTATTTACTTTAGAGTAGCAATCTTCCATATAGTGTTCTCAGCTCACTCAGTCTTATTGCGGTAAATAAGGATCAGGATAAACAAATAGGCTGAATAGATGTTTATCCAGGGAGAAATAACTTACAACCTAGACAGATGAACACCAGGAAATTCAACCCCTCTCCTGTCCGAGTCAGGCCAGAAAGAGAGCTTTTCCTGGCTCTGTCTCCGACCTCCTTCCACAGGTCACTTCCGACCATGGCTCCACCCCCAATGGGCGTGGTCAGTGTCACAGAAGGACTATCTCATTACAATTCCCTAAGATTTAGGCTTAATACAAAACTATATACAAAACAGTGAATAACAAGTGTGCTCCAAAAAAAGGAAAATCGAGAACAAAATGACCTACACAGTCTCCTCCTTCTAAGGGTCCTCATCAACTTTACGGTCATACAGGACGTAGAAGAATTGTAGTGCTTGTATCTCTGAAAACATCCATTAACAAATATTTTAGAAAAATTAGCCATGATCTTTTGGAAATAAAAGGCAATCACAACAATGGCCATTCTCAGGCATCAACCAGGCTGGACCTTATTTCCAGTTAATGAATCATTCACTAGTGGCAGTTGTAGCTATGAAGTTGTTGTAGTCTTGGTATTAATGTCTCAGCTTCTTACCAGTCAGAACATAGTCCTCACACAATTATATGGACCAGATGCTGGAAGGGCAGGAAAGAAATGATGGAATTGCTTTGCAGAAGTAGCCTTGGCTCCTGTCTTTAAGTTCCAGGGACTCTGCTTAATTGCTGAACTTATCAATACCCAGCCCTCTCCTGACAGTTTCCCAGAGCTCACAGGATGCCAGAGTATCCCATCCCTAGTTAAGACATTATCATAGAAGAGACTAGTTCAAGACAATGTGACCATGCTTAATTCAGTTCTCAGGGTCATCACACTTTCACTGAAAAAAAAATTCCTGGTTTTAAATACTTAACTGCATTTTCACAGACTCCCAACATGCCATTGAGAGATGAATCATTGTCAGCCTCTCCCAGGTTTCTGTAGGAGCCATACTCGAGTGCATACAAGCTTCAGGTAAGAACCTGTTTCAGATTTAGGATCAGGGACTAAAAATCATGTGTCCTGGGGACAAAGAGTTAATCAGTCATAGGATCTACAGGAAAGAAAAGGGATGAGCATGTTAAAAGAAAGTTCCTCAGGCCCATGGAATTTAGAGGAAGTATGAGATTAACACTATAACAAATAAATAGTAAAGAAGGAATTGAAAGGCATGCTGCCTGCTGAGTGGGTTAGGAGCTGCTTGCAGCCTTCTGAAACCTTCTTGGTGTCCCTGTCTGCCTTGTGCTCTCTGTCTCATTGATGAGCCTCACACACATTTCACGTCAGGCCCACACCTGCATCTGATGTGCACCTGTTTTGTGATGATGGAGGTGGTAATGAGGGCATCCAGTTTCTTGGTCTCTGACTCTGTGTTATTCCTATGTTGGCTAGAACTTGCACCCCACACAGTGCTCTGACCCTGGTAAATGCTGTCTGTGGCCTGAATCTGAGGATTCATACTCTCCAGTGCCTTTGGGTATTTCAGGATCTGTTTATTTCAGGAACACCACACAATCAACTCATCCCTTTGAGGCTTTACATTTATTTAGATCAGAGCATGCTATAAATATCACCAAAAATAAGGTCAGGGGAAGAGCTCTGTGGTTCACGTTTCACCACATGAGAATCCTTGGGTGGGATCTGTACTCTTATTGGGAGTGAGAGAAACATAATGAAACATCACGACATATTAAAAAACCCAGGAAATTGGATAACCATTTGGATACTTCAAGGATTAATGTACTCTACAGCTGTAAAAAATCCTTGAGTGTGATATGAAGAGGCTCTAAACACAGAGGAGTCAAGCCCTGTTTGCTTCTCTGGACCTGATCTGTTAGTCCTTTGTGTATCCCCTGCTGGTCCTGAGCAATGTTGCAGGGAGGTTTGTGTCTGAGCTCACAGTAGCATTCACTCATGGTGTCTCTTGCACAGTAATCCATGGCTGTGTCCTCAGACTTGAGATTGTTCATTTGCAGGTACAGGGTGTTCTCGGCATTGTCACTGGAGATGGTGAACCGATTCTTCATGGCATCAGTATATTTGATATAAGTACTACTGTCATAACTAATATATACAACCCGCTCCAGCCCATTCCCTGGAGCCTGCTGGATCTTGTGCAAGTTATAGCTACTGGAGGCGAAAGCAGAGAGTGCAGAGGAGAGGCTCAGGGGCCCCTTAAGGTGCACCAGGCCTCACCCAGACTCCACCAGCTACTCCTCACACTGGACACCGCAAACACAGATAATTCTGGTTAGGAATCTGTCAAAGAAGCCATATTTTCTTTTTTCATTTATCTTTCTTTTTTTATTTTATATAACCAAGTCCATTTAAATGAAAACAAATATTTATAGACAAGATTTGGGAATTTGGGCATTGTTCTTTCCAAACTACTTCCTGCTGGTAAGGGGCCCTGTCATGGGGGATCAGATATCCTGGCTATAGTCTGTCAGGCTGCTTTGTCCAGCTGTTTTGAATGTAGGATCACCTGGTACTCTGTTTCAGGTGGTCTGGCTTGGTAAAACCACATCAGTCTGGAAGGAATCCACATCTTTCCATTTTCTGTGGAGACAAAAATAGAAATCCTTTTCCCCAGTAACTTGTCCTTGAACTTAAATTTTGGAGTCAAAGCATTAATTTAAATTTAAATTATTATTTTACATGTGGATCCCAGTTCCCTCTCCCTCCCTCCCTCTTTGCTCCCTCCCTCCCTCCCTTTTACTCCCTCTGCCCTCTCTCATGCACTCTAAACACCCTCCACTCCCATCCCCCCACCCCAATTCCATATGCCTGGGGATGTTAGCAGAATCCTTCCTAGTGCAAAGAACACTTTGGAGTTTTCTGAATTGTACCTGGTTATGAGATAAGGCTGACCTCAAGTCATGAGAGGATTACAAATATGCCTTCCCTTGTCACATTGCTCTACTGCTGTCTTTGGTGCAGAGACACAGTTCTATTTATAGTAAATTCACTTGTTTTGCATTTGAACTTCTCTCTTTGATTCCTTTAACTCCCAATTTCTGTTGTCTTATTCTGTCATTGCAGCAGGCAACTCATGACTGTCTTTATGCTACTGGCAGTGAATGGAGTGGGGTTATTGTATTCATCAATTCATCATGGCTACTGTTTTCTGTGTATACTCTGCCTAAGAACACATCCACAGTGTTTATTAATTGCAGGCCTTTCCTCTCACTGAGGAACTGTTGGATGTAAATGGATCAAGGAGAAGAAGAATCCATTTTTGAGACTGTCATCATTGGTAGATATTTTTTTATGTAGCATGTTTGGCTCTGTGCACATATGTGCAATGTTAACTGTCCTTTAAATGTTATGAAGTATTTTTAGCCTTATTTTAGGGAAGATATTGGTGGTGTTTTAGGAGAAATTGGGCAGAGATGTATTATATTTAAATATCTATTTGTAGAGTTTACAGTTCCATAAATGATGAAAATAGTAATATGTGATGAATTAATAAATGTTTAAGATGAAAACATAACCTAAATGACTCTTAGCAATGGGGACCATGAGAAGAGACACAGAATATCCAGGAACTGGCAGACGGGGGTTTGGGAGATCTCCTGTGGGAGAAATGCAGGGAGTTAGATGTGCATTATGTCTGTGTCTGACTTAGTGGGACTGACTGAGGGTCCTTGGTTGTCAGTTGGGATGATTTTGGGACTCCTGAATGAAGTGAGATAAGGAGAAGAAACACAAGATACCAGATTAGCAGTTGATTGTAAATTAGGGACTGACTATTCTTAAGGGGGCTGAGGAGGATCAGGGTCTGATTTGAAGAGATCTGGACAGTTCAGTCTTTCCTTCGGACAGTACATGAGGAGAAAATGTCACACAGATTAGCTACAGCTGGAGTCAGCTGGGATTGCAGACTGGTGGCTTAGAATTTCCTCATAGAAAGGCACACAGTACACCTGCAGAGGAATCAGTATTAGGGACTTTGATGTGTGGGGTAATTTCTCTCTCTCTCTCTCTCTCTCTCTCTCTCTCTCTCTCTCTCTCTCTGCTTTTTTATTTATTATTTTATTTCTTTCTGTATATACCAATCCCAGTTCCCCTTCCTCCCACCCTCCCATGCCCACCCTGAGCCCCTCCTGTCAAATTCGTCACGCACTCCCCAGGGTGATTGAGTCCTTTAAGGATGGATCATCAAAATCTGTCAAGTCTTTTGTGGTAGGACCTAGACCCTCTTGAGGGGTAATCTCTACCAAGCAGGGAATTCATAAAAATGGACTCTGTAAAAGATAGTAACCATGTGAACTCTTTTAAGTACTGTTGGTTTAGAAGGAAGAACTGAATATTTATAATTTAAGGTGTTATTGGAAAGTAACATTAATTAAGAGAAGGGATGTTTGTCTCATCATGTGCATCCCCCCCCAAATAAAGAATATCAATTACAGATTTCTCAAAATTTCAGTCTACTGTAGAAATACATGTATATGTTATGGAATCCATATATATGGAACATCTAACAGCATATTCTGGTATGTCGGATAGCAAGGAGTATATAGATAGCTTAGACAATCTGTGAGAAAAGTCATTTTCTCTAGTGTGTGAATGAATGGGACGTTTAATAGAATATGAACATAGGCAGAGACTTCTAGGAGATTTCCTTATGTAGAAAGGAGCCCACAATTTCGTACAAAAAACCACATGCTCTTGCAGCATAGTCCAATATTTTCTAGGTCCTGAAATAATTCCTCCTGGTCCTAGAGAGTGTCGATGGTCTGCGTCGCCATCTGCTGGTCCTGAGCATCCCTGCAGACATGTTTCTGTGCAGGTTCACACTGGAGTTTCCTCATTGTGTGTCTCTGGCACAGTAATACATGGCTGTGTCCTCAGTTTGCAGGTTGTTCAGTTTGAGGAAAACTTGGTTCTTGGAGGTGTCCCTGCTGATGCTGATTCGGGATTGGAGAGCTGAGTTATAATCGGTGCTTCCACTGCTCCATATTACTCCCATCCACTGCAGAGCATTTCCTGGAGGCTGGCGGATCCAGTGTACACCATAGCTGCTCAATGAGAACCCAGAGACCGTGCAGGTGAGGGACAGGGTCTGTGAGGGCTGCACCAGGCCAGGTCCTGACTCCTTCAGCTGCACCTGGGACAGAACACCTGTGGACAGAAAGCATCACCATCAGTCATCCATCCCATAATGACACTCCTGGGTCCCTCTCCTGAATCCCTGCACACTCACAGCTTGGAAAGGTCAGCAGGCAGAGGAGCAGCACCAGGACAGCCATGCTCTGCTGGAGGCTCAAGTGAGAAGCAGATGGGGCTGCTCAGCTAGGCCTGGGCTTTCAGCCTGAGCCTGAGGCTGCTTTGCATTGTGGGAGGATCCTGAGAGGATAAAAGGGGGCTCAGGGCAAGTTTTCCTGTCTTCCCTGGGGTGACTGATATTTTCTTGTGCTTCTCTTGAGGAACTGGTGACAAAATCTTCAGGAACAATTTCCTGGTTCTGCCTGTATTATCTCTTTAATATAACTGGAGATTGTATGATTCACAGTATGCATGCTTGTGTAAAATACATAGATCCATACTCCGGCTGTGCAGAAAGAAGAAGATTCACATCCTCAGTGCACTTCTCTGTAAATTCAAGTACTGTGTTTGGGATTCAGTTTAATCACACGATGCACTTCAGTCTCTTACTGATGTGAAATAAAGAATATGATATTAAATGTTCATCTGAGAGGAGAACAAGCATGGATTTTGCTGCCCTGTCAGTGATCTTAGTGTATTCACCAGCCAAACCAGGGAAACCACACCTGGGACCAGTCTTGTTACCTGCTGTTTTCAATTTGTCTCTGTCTGTCTTTCTCTTTGTACTTTTATGTTTCTCTCCTTTTGTCCTATAACATGAAGCACATTTTGAAAGCATTTTCCTAAATATGCTTATTTCATTGGTAGGGATGTTAGATCAGCTTTTCATACCACATCACAAAATGCAGTAGCATGCAGAATGCTTGAGCATTGTGTTAACTGAAGTAATAAGAAGACAGGGAATCCTAAGTGATGCCAAGAAGTGGAAAGATGGGTGGACTTCAACAAGTGGAGGTGTTTCCTTTGCGATGAAGATCCCCATTGAGAACAATGCATGGTGGGCTTCCCACCATGCTTTGTTGATATAAATCTCCAGGGATGGGAAGAGAATAATTGCTAAACAACCTGTTCAGTGAGGACCCAGAGAACATCCAGCACTTCTTTCACATTGGACACCCCACATGCTTTGTCCCTTATTCCTCTGAGCATCCTCTGTAATGTGAGTGGCCGTAGTGAAGACTGGTCTTATCATTGGTGAGACCTACATCCTCTGCAAGTTCTGATTCTGGTCCCCTCGTTTATGTTGTCCTGGTTGTTGAGACTATTTTCACAGATTATGTTCAATTTGTCTCATCTTGTTTTTTTCTGGTTTTTCATTGTTCTTACAGGGTCTTACAAATCTCAAGAATAATTGCATGTTTTCCCTAACATCGGTGCATAATTTATGACTTTGGTTAACTACATAATAGCCAGTGTACACATATTGTGGTCTGTTGTGAGATTCCCTTCTCATGATCCATAAAACTCTCTAGGATGAATTCACTAAGAAAAGTCACTTTCAAATGGAATGCCTTCTGGATAAAGCTGCACAATTCCCATAGTTATCTTCTATTTGATAGTTAAATCTGTGTACTTGTGTGAGTTTAGTCAGGTGTTTACTTCTGTCTTTTTTACACATGAACACTAACATTGGTTGTGTTACAATGACTATACAAGACTAGACATTTGTGTGATGGCTAGCATTGTGTCAATGAATCAAAAGTTACGATCGTCTGGGTATTGAATGCCTCAGTTGAACAAAAGAAAAGCCTCCACCAGATTGGCCTGTAGTAATCCTGTAGAGGCAACATTGGAGTAGCACAATTTCCTTTGTATTTTGAATATATCATTTGAAACAGCAAAGTGGAATTTGTTGCAGAAGAAGACATTTTATGAAGATTGAGACAGAATACAGCATATTCAAAAAATGTTATGTGCCATTGAACCCTACTTTTTTCTCCGTCCTCTGCTGCTCACCCGTGATGACCCTCTCTCCCTCCTCCTATTCTCAGGTCTCTTCAACCCTTCCCTTCCTCCCCACCTTCCCTGCTTCTCTGCCCCTCTTCCTGCTTCCTCAGTTCCTCTCTCCCTCATCCCATCCTCCCTCTCACTCACCTCCACATCCTCTCTTCCATAACTTACTTCCACCCTCCTGTTGATTGCTACATTCAGCAAGTTGTTGCTAATATATTATGTGCAGAAATGTAACAGCTGCATTGCCTCTCTCTGCACCAACTCTGTTGCATTCCTATGGCAGTCTAGAAACCACACAACTTATCTTCTTATGTCTGCTGGACACGTGGATACTCACATAGTGAACTATTTTATTATCACACACACACACACACACACACACACACACACACACACACACACACACACCCCGCATCAGATTAACATGCAGTAACAACTATTCACAGATGATGACTTGACATTTTACAGGGTAACTATGCTTGCCCTGGACTCACTGTGCAGACCAATCTGATACAGACCTGTAAGAGAACTCCTTGTCATGTTTGTCTCCCTAGTGACTGGATTAAAGGTGCGAACAACCATTCCAACCAATTACATATGGAATTTTTTTAAAAAATAATTGGAATATATTTTTATTACGTTAAAATAATGTGATTCTGAAAACCATTCCTTCATCTTTTCTTAGATCATCCCACTCTCAAAAGTTGTGCAATTCCATTACATCAATAGTTTTAAAGGTATTTAAGATACAGGATTCATAACATTTATTTTCATATTCAGAATAATTTATAAAAAACCATAAATGCTCTTGTGTGAGATTTCTCTTTAAACCTGCAATGGCTCCCTTATCATGGCATCTCATTTCTTATTCTTCTCTATTCTTCCCCTGACTCAATCTTTCTGCTCCCTCAGTTCCTCCTCGCCCTTCTCCTTTCCTCCTTCCCTTTCTCCTACCTCCCGCTCCCTCCCACCATGCTCCCAATGTTCTCAGGGGGTCCTGTCACTTTCCTCTTCTCAATGGGACTATGTATGTTTCTCTTAGGGTCCTACTTGTTTCCTAGCATTTTAGATTTGTGGAGTGTATGCTGGTCATCCTTTGTCTATGCCTAATATCCACTTGTGAATGAGTACATACCATGTTTGTGTTTCTGTGTCTGGTTTATCTCAATCTTTTAAAACAGCACGTTTTCCCTACAGGGAACAATATTTTCGTTACACCTTTGGGTTATATCAATTTAAACACCAGACTCCAATATTTCCTCTCTTTGATTCCCAGTAATTATGACTGAGTGTAACACAGTAGCAAAATAAAGTGTACAAGATCAGTGTTCTGAGCATCAATGTCAAGATCATAATGGATGGACAAATCAAATCAACCAATGAAATGAAAAGGGAGGAGGAAGAGGAGAAGGAGAAAGATATTGCATCCCTAGCTGGTGGCTCCTACCCAGAGTCTGAACTACATGATATGATGGCATCATCAAGTCTAATGTGAGCATCACCCACAGCACATGCAGCACATGTCATTATTCTTGCTCAACACCACACACCAGAATGATTATTTTAATATAAGTGTGAACTGTTGGGATGCGCAGCACAGTGTCTGCCACACTTTGAAATATGATGGTAAGGCTGCTGAGCTGTGTCCTCCTCCACTGCCTTCCGGGGAGTCGCTGCTATCTTAGACATGAGGGAAACTGGTCTGTCTACAGAGGCCTTCTCAGGGGAAAGGATACACAGTCCCTAATGTCAAACTCCTACTCCCTGCCTTCCTGAGCACCTGATTCGGACCCTGTCTTAGTTATCTGAGGATGCTGAGGTAACACCTTTAGTATAAACTATTTATATTAGGACAAAATATGCATCTCTCAAGCAAAGAGAACAACAGCCAGACATAGACACATAGACAGAGATACAACAACAAAGACATAACTACAAAAGACATGCATACATACAAGGAAACACACACACACAAATATATATATATATATATATATATATATGTATACATATATGTTATTTAAAATAATCTTTTTATTATATGCCATTCTTCCTACTTAAAATATCCTGCTGGTTTATAAAGGGCTGTGATTATATTGATTCACCTCACCACATTCTTTTTCATTTAACTCCTGATAAACCTTATTGCCCATACTACTCACAGAATCTGTTCCCCCTCATTCCAAACAGTTGTGTACATTTTTTTCTTTTGGTAAATAACATTCTTTTCCTTAGCTCCAAAGTAAATTTGTTTTTTTTTTTTTTTTTTGTCTTTAACATCTGTTTGACTGGTGCTATAGATGTTTGCTTTTATGAAAACTTTTGCTCCTAAATTGGTCAAGATGAAGGAGCCCAATCAGAGGATGGATTGCAGGAAGATGTCTGTTCATGAGGACATCACCTCTTGTCTGTGTTCCCTGTGACATCTAATGCCTCAGATAAGTGACAGACATGGGTTGTCCTTGAGACAAAAAACGATACAGATCTCTTAGGTGCTCTTTAACAGTGAGTGCCTGTAAATAATCTTAAACAGGGAATAGTGATGGTATAAACACATTGCTTATTAGTCAAAATGAGGAATGTGTTCTGACATTTTAACACTAAATCAAAACCACATGTATACTGCACAAGAGCTCTTAAGCTACAATACTACCCAGTGCTTGATGATAAAAGAATTACACAAATACTACATTTTTAGTTATGAGTGTATGTTTCTGCATTCATAGCTTAGAACTCGTGGTGATGAATTAAGGGCATGTGTTCCTCTTTTCTTTCTTTTTTATTTATTTATTTTATCTAACCAAGTCCATTTAAGTGAAAACAAACATTTATAGACAATATTTGGGAATTTGGGCGTCGTTCTTTCCAAACTACTTCCTGCTGGTAAGCGGTGCTGTCATGGGGGATTCGAAGAAGATTCAGAAATCCTGGCTGTAGTCTGTCAGGCTACTTTGTCCAGCTGTGTTGAATGTAGGATCACCTGGTACTCTGTTTCAGGTGGTCTGGCTTGATCAAACCACATTAGTTTGGAAGGAATCCACATCTTTTCATTTTCTGTGGAAACAAAAATAGAAATCCTTTTCCCCCAGCAACTTGTCCTTGAACTTAAATTTTGGAGTCAAAGCATTTTTTTTTTAAATTTAATTTATTATTTTACAAGTTGATCCCAGTTCCCTCTCCCTCCCTCCTTCCCTCCCTGT